GCGGCCTGGTTGGCGCAAAGTTCCCACCAGGTCGTCTTGCCAGACTCCACGCCGGCGCTGCCCGCGTGGGCAAGCGTTTTGAAATCTTAAAAATCCTCACTGGACAACGCAGCCCAAAAAAGGACCCACATGTGCCCTCTTGGGGCCCAAGCCTCGGCCCCCGTGCCTGGGCCCCCGCAGAGAACATTGAGCGTCGATTGACAATCAAGATAACATTGGAACGGCACCATCCCTACATGCGCCAGCATGTAGACCTCGAAATCATCGCCATCCTTGGCCGTCTGGCGGGGGCCGAACGACAGGGGGACAGGGCCATGCGCTGCGTACAACACATTGCCAAGCCTGTCCACTTGCGCCAACGCCCAGCCCGCCCGACTGACTCCTTCGATCGACGGCCACATGGCCGAACCGTCGCTGAATATGCATCCCGTCAGGAAACCGCACGCAGGCCTGTTCACTCACTTGACAGCTTCATCGGGGTCTTCGCGGGGCACAAACACCAGGGGACTAGGGGGCGCACACCTAGCGAAACGCCCCCCCGCCTCGACCGCTGGCTCGAGGGCTCTGGCAGCACGCTCCCTCAGCCACGGCGAGAACTCATTCCTCCTGAGGCCTTCGCGCGCCACGCGCGCGTACTGCCTATGCCGGAGCGTGCCGCGACGAGCTTGACACAACCGACGCGCAGGCGACGCGTGCAGCCCATATCCGTGCACCTTTGCTTGCGGCCAATGCGCGTTGCAAATCAGGGCCCTGAGGGCGCGCTGGTGGTGGCTGGACACAGGACAAACATCATGGTGGCCTCTGGGCCCCTCGCTCCCAAGCCGACCTGAACTGTCCAAAGAAAGACGGTCCGACGCCCTGATGGCCCCGTCCTGCGCCAGCTCTCTGAGTTCCGACGGCGAGAGCTGGTGCAGGTTCCACGCGCGCCCGAAATCGTCCATCAGGCGCGTGCTAAACAAAAATCTCAAGCCTATCCTAGCAACGGTGAAGCACGCAACTTCCGCTCGCGACGAGGCGACCCTCCACGGGTGACGCAGACGCTCCAGTCTGTCAAGAGCCGCGCCCGTGGTCGCGCCCAACACCGTCGGGGAGGGGGAGCTATCCCGCGCGGCCGAGGCCCGCTGATGCACCACGTGTCCCGTATCGGCAACCAGCGGGTCCGCCAATGCTCCAGGCCTGTGCGAGTGGAGCCTGGGCCCAAGGCTGGATCCTTTCGGGGGCCTCCCTATGCTACGGGCAGCAGAAGTACGCGGACCACGCATGGCCGATGTGGGGGCCCCAGTGACACCTTCCCCAGAGCGCCGCCGCCGTAGCCCCAACCCTTTGGACGAGGCTTGCATCCGCGCCCGCGCTCTGCAGCCGCTGGCCCCTAGATTTGGCAGCGACGAACCTGCTCCTGGCAATGCCGACTCGGCGACGGGGCCCCGAGGGCGCGCCCGCGCCAAGATTCCGAGCCGACTCCACCCTGGACGAGGACGGGATCCGCCATCGATCCCTGAAAAAACCTAGACGCCTCCAGGCTACACATATACTTGGTCTTGCTCACTGCAACTGGAAGGCCGAGCCGATCGAAATCCGTCAGCAACGACTCAACCCCTTCACCGGGAACCCGGGCCACGTGTTCCTTCCTTCCACATGTCTGCAGCGCAATATCGTCCACGACGTTCCTAACCATCAACTGCGGTCTCCCCTGCTTTGCCTGCAGCATCGGGCCCAAGAGGAGAAGCTTCGCAAGACGCGTCGCTCCACTGCAACCTGCTATGACAGACCCGTTAGCGTGCACCGCCCGTGACACGGCGCCGCCATGGATAATCCTGCGGGGACATGCGTATATTGTGCACAGGCAGCGCAACAGCCTGATCGGGAAGTACCTCGACGCCGCCTCACACAGGTGCTCGTGGCCGGCGTGCTCGAAAAACTTGGAAAGATCCAACATGGCGGAGGCCAGCTCGACCCCGACCCCGTTCGAGAAACTCCCGCGGAGGTTATGGGTCCACGCTGCACGCTCACACGTCGTGTTTTTGCTGGCCCCCCAGAAGACATCCCCCATGTGGTCGCGCTCCCAACGCGTGAACATGGACTGCCTCGCCCTGGGCCGAATCTGGGTTATAACAAAGCCAGCAAGCCGATGGGCCGCGCGCCTCCGCCGGCCTTGCCAATGAAAAACGACATTCGTCATGGAGAGAAGCGAATGCAGTGGGGTCTCTTCAAACCTGTGCAGAGTGTCGACCAATCGTGTAGCGTACTCATCGCCAAGCTCTCGTACCCGCCAAGGATGGAACCCATCCCACCCAAAGCCGCGCTTCCTGTTATACCTCTTGCGTGATTTCCTTAGAACCTCAGGCGACATAGCTGGCAACGCAGCCTCGTCGCGAGGCGCAGACCAGGTCGCCGGATGTTGGGCCCCTCTGCCCGCGACATGCCATGGCGGCGCCCAGGCCTCCGGCAGGTATCCTGGCGCTTTCTGCCCGCAAGCTGGCTTCCCTGCCGCATCTAGCAAGGGCGTGGGGCTCGCCAACGAACGCTTCGAGAAAGCATGCGCCGCCTTCCGTCCGCCTTTAGCCGGCCCCAGCGCCCGCGGCATCCACTCCGCCAGCCTGGACTTGGCATCCTGTCTTCTCCTCCGATCCACCCCCGAACGCAACTTGGCTAAAACCTCCGACCCCTCCTCGACCTTCCCATCCACGACGTCGTTGGCGAGGGGCACTCGGTCTAGCTTGATGGGGCCGCCGTCGCCGAAGTACAGGGCTTCGGTCATGCGCGACAGCTTGCCCCTCCACCCGAGCCAAAAAAATCTGCCTCGACGGCCAACTGCTCCTGATGCAGACTGCCTGCATCTAGTGGCGAGACTCTGAAACGCCATCCAGGTTGCAGTTGCGCTGGGAAGCCTCCGTCTTTGGCTCTTATCCCAGAGCGTTCCCAGGGGGGGCTTTTTGCGCCCTGGGCCCTAGCCCTGCCAATGTAGCCCTGGGACCCCTTGCCGCGCAACCCGTGGGTGCCCTCAGCGGCCCCCAGCCGCTGCTTGCGCATCGACGTAACTTCACCAGCCCCCGACGTGTTTTCAGTCCGCTGCCGCGCGACAGTCTTCGGCTCGGGATGCGGACCACTCGAGCCGCGCTCGAACGGGCGCAACTTAACCTGGCGAGGGATCGCGGCGAGGTGGGAGAGACCTTCCAGCTCCAGCCAAGCGGGGCCTCCGAGATCACCTTGAAGCCCTTGGCCCGAGACGCCAGACATTCCGCCGAGATGAAGTAGTCGCAGACACGCCCTGCTCCAGAAACGCCAGTGGGGCCCTTCCACTGAGCCTTCACCTCCATCGCGGCCTTCGGGGCCCCCTCGGGCCCCAGTATATGCGGCCCCCCTGGGGGCCACGATATCACCCCTGTCGATCTGCAACAGCCCCGACGCCATCAACGCGGACGGCTGGGAATTGACATCGCCTTGGACAACGCAGGGCAGCTGCTGGCTGAGTAGGAGCTCCCCCAGGGTCTCCAAGAGCGCCGCGTTCTCCCCCGACAGGAGTGGCCGCCAGGAGGCCCTGCGGGAACCCAACATTGGCCGCGCGCATGCTCACTCTGTTGGCTGGCAGGTCTTGATACTTCTCAGCGAACGGCTTGGGAGCTAAGCTGCACTCCGATGGCCGCGCCACTTGAGCTCTCGACGCTACCGCTGCCAGTGCTTGCCGCCAGTCCATGACACAACGGCCAGCCATTCCTTGCCCCCCGCGCTGATGCCGCGGACGCCTTGGAGGCTGTCTTGGCGCGCGCCTCCTGGATCATGGCCGCATTTGGGCTGCTCGCCAGCCCGCCTCCAGTGGGGGCTTCGTCCGTGCACCACGCCGGGGCAGTCTCGGCCGTGCTCCAGGCGTTGGCGCTGATGCCCAGGCAACTCAAGTTCGCGGCGTTGAACTCATCGGTCGGCCCTGAGCATGGCGGCGGGCTCTCGACCCCGTCCTCGCGCGCGCGTGCGGCTTCGGCCTCCGCGACCGCGATGTGGTCGCCTGCCTCGGCGGCCTCCTCGAACGAGAAGCTGCGCCCCTGCGCCCGCGGCGTCGAAGGGGACGAGGGCGTCGCTGAAGCCCTGGGGTTCTTCAACCCCGACGGCTCAATCGACGGCGGCGGCCTCCCCGATCCATTCGCGGCAATCGACGAAGAGGGCCGCCCTGGACTTCTCGCGCCGCAGGCCCCCGCAGACCGCGTCGAGCCCGAGGGCGCAGTTGCCGCCCTCGCCGTCGTCGAGGCCGGCAGCGGCGCGGGGGGGCGGGGGGGGCGACTTTGCAAAGCTGAGTCCTGCGCGCCCCCCCCCCCCCCGGCGGGCGCCGGGCTGGCCGTGCCCCCCCGAGCGGGGGCCGCTCGACAAGGCCCAGCGCCCCGCCGCTGCTGGCCTTGCCGCCTCCTCCATCGCCGCCTGCCAGCAGCCGCCGCGGTGCTGCTTCAGTGCCTTGCTGGTCCACCTCCATGGAGCGGTCACGTGGTTGCCCCTGGCTTGGGGGCGGGGCTGACGGGTGCTCCCCGAGCTGCCCCCTCTCCCGCCCAAGCCAATGCGCCGCCCCTCCAGTCATCGGCTGCCTCGCCCACGCTGCGCCTTCGCCAGCGGCGGCGCGCTCCCCCGGCCGAGCGCCGACGGCGACTCCGCGGCCCGCGGCGGGACCGACGGCGGCGCGCGGGCCCGCGGCGCTCGGAGGGCCCGCGGGCACCGCCGATGACGCTCCAGCAAGCGCTTCAGCAACTGCCGCATCAGCAGCTGTTTCCCGGGTTGAGGCGGGCTCGCCGTTTACCTCTTGGGCGCGCCTGGGGGCAGGCTCCAGCGAACAACTTGGCGACTGAGCCCAGCCCCGCGCGCCGTTCACCCCGCGGGCGCACCGGGGTTTGCGTTCTAGGGCCACTCACCTCCTGCACTGTGACGGCGCGGGGCTTTGGCGGGGGCCTCTTTGGGATCGGCGGGTCGCGCGAAGTCAGATCTCGCGCGCAGATCGACTCCGCCGGACTGCCTGCCAGGGCCTGCCCCGCGAGCCGCCATGCCGCGCAGCGCGGGCGGGTCCAGCGCGCCAGAGGGCGCCTGCCAGGGCCTGGGCGGCACGCCTGGGGCCTCGATGCCGAGCCCGAGCTGGCTCCACTCCACGTCCACGACGTTGCGGTCACAGGAACGGCGCGGCACGTTGTCCGCCGAGCCGACATCAAAGGCACCGCTTCCCCTTGCTCCCGAGCGCGGCCGCTGCCTGCGCCAACTTGCGCTTGGCTGCCCCCTGCGCCTCTGGGGCGGCTGCGCGGAGCGCCTCGGCCGCAGCCTTGAACTCGGCCGTGCGCTCCTCGAAGTTCTCGGCGCTGAGGACTTCCATGTCGATGTCCTCGTCGACCTCCCCTGCAGGGGCGTCGGCGGGCGCCCTGCGGGCAGCTGCCCCAGAGCTAGGACGAGCGCCAACATCGCCGCCGCCGGCAAGCAGAGGCTCCTGCGCCTTCTCCGCAGCGCCCTGAAGTCGAGGGCGGTCTGCTGGAGTTTCGCAAGCACCTCCATGGCGGCCTTGGCCTCCGCATTCGTGTGCAGGCTGGAATCCAGCGCGGCCGTCGTGACCTTAACCGCGTTGTTGATGTCGACGGCATGCATGTGTGCGTATAGGGCCTCTGCAGCTGCAAGGTCCTTCTTGGTGTCCTGCGTGGCCGCGAGGAGTTGAGCCTCCTCCTTGAGGAGCTGCTCGCGGCGCTCCTTGGTCTTCTGGAGCTGGAGGTTCTGCTTCTCGGGTTTCGTCCGTAAGTTCTCGACCGTCCACCTCGCAGTGACGACCGACGGCGGGTGCTCAGCCTGCTCGCGCTGCTGCCAGTTGGTGATCGACTGCAAGACCTCCTTGTCGCACTTCTTGTCATTGAGGAAAACCAACACATCCTTGCACGACAGAGAGCTGGGACCTCCTGCTGACTGCTGCTGCTGCTGTCCCCCAGCGGGGGCGGCGGTGGACTTCTCCTCCTTCCCCAGCAGCATGTCAAGCTTCTCCTGCATAGCGGCAGTGATCTTCCCCTGGTCCCGTGGTGGATTCGCACAGACAGATCCTTTGCCGCCGACATTTTTCCCTCCCCCCTTCTGGCGCAACTTGGCGGCCTGCTGGGCCGCCTGCTGCACCTTCTGGGGGGCCCCGTTCCCGCAGCCACGGCATCTGAGACGACTCGCCCGGTTGTCAGCTGCACCGCATTTGCCGCACCCGCAGAGGGGGAGGTGCGGCCCTGGAAGCACATCGGGCCCCATCCACTGCGCGGGGGGCCAAGCGAAAATGGATCGCGAACGCGGCGCCTCTCTGAAGCACGTGTCCGCAACTCTCTCTCAAACGCTCGAGAGCAGAGGGGCTAGGAGGAGGAGGAGGAGGAGGAGGAGGAGGAGGAGGAGGAGGAGGAGGAGGCGGACGAGGAGGAGGAGGAGGAGGAGGAAGAGGAGGAAAAGGGAGGGCGTCGAGAGGCTCGGGCACCAACGCTTCGCACATATCGGAACGCACGGTGTTTGGGAAGTCCGCGGGCGGCACGGGCCCGAGGTTGACAAGGTGCCCTGGCATCCGTGTGTCTGGGGGGCCGGTGCAGTGGACACTTTTTTGACGTCGCAGCGCGGGGCAGAAGCAGTCCGCACGCGCATGCGGGCAAGCCGGGTGACGGCATTGAGAATTGTCGATGGGAACGCGCGACCAAACGGTTTCGTGCCGGCCCTGGCCCCCCAGGGCCTTGCGGATCGGTGTCCCGCCCGACGAGGTGCCACACAAGGGTGGGGCCGAGCGCCCCAGTCGTGAGCTCTTCAAAACGTAATGATTTGTGTCATGACGCGGACGAAGAAGACGACGACGGCGGCGTCGAACGTCGGCTTCGAATGACAGCAGCTCTTGCGAGCAGGGCGGGCTGGAGGGACTCATCACAGGTTGAGAAGGACGACGGAGGAGGGAGGGGTCTCCCCCCCGTCAATATCGATGATCCCCTTATCGCTTCCTCTCGCCCAGCCTCGTTGATATCCTTCAATCCCGTCCCAGCCAACTACATCGCACCCCCAATCCCATTCCAGACTCCTCCCCTCCTCTCGTGATTTATCGCTCTATCCCTCTGTCAATTCGGGATGCATTGTCTTTAAGTATCTTCGAATTCTCTGAAAAGATATGGTACATACTTGTAAGGGCCCAAGACCACAGATCTCCAGAAATGCTGGGCGTTTCTTGGCTCCCTGGTGCTCCTCGCGTGACTTTTCTTGAGGCCTCGGGGACATGGCTGCAAATTGGCGATCCCAACGTGTCGTAAAATGACCCACGCGACTGGCTTTGGGTCCCTATGGGCTGCTTTCCCGACGAAAATGGAGCAACAAACTACATTCTGATATTGGGCTCATGAAGAAACGCTGCGGCAAGTCAACGAAAAGCGGAAATATCTAAGACACCACCTGAATCCGAACCACAGCCTCCTGCGAGGGGGTCTGAAACGAGAACTACATTTTGACGGTACGTCTGGATAAACGTACATTTCGACACTTGCCGTCGCTCGGACGTTCATTACCCGTGTATGTTTCGGTGTCGTGCGTGTTTTTTTTGTTGCTCGATGAACCAGGATGCTCTTCGATTGTCCTCGCCGAGAAGAAGTGCACGCGTCCGAGCGACGCCCATCACATTTAAAATGGGGAAGCCCCCCCTCTGCCCAGAAGTCTGCGACCCCGCCCGCCAGACCCACGCGGCTTCTTAGAATTATAACGGCGACGCACGTCCTCAATCTGTCCGCTACATCATTCCGCCATCTCTGACTCCGGCAGGCGTTTCCAACATTTCACTCTCATCCATCGTCTTCGCAATCATCATGGTTGCAACCACGGTCTTTCTCATCGCCACCGCCACCATCACTCCTACGGCCCTGATCGCTATCGCCGCGACCATCGGAAATACCACTTCCCACCACTGTCTGAATAACCCCTCCTCCATGGGCTCCCAAAGGGCCTCACGGTGGCTGTCGAAAAGCAGCCCATCGACCCCCTAGACTCCCTCCCAACTACGTGTCATGTTGTCCATGGCACATATGATAACTCGACCTCTCCTTCCTGCAATGTTCACTTCCTCCCGGTCTCTCCTTCCGCTCTCGCCGTCCCACGGAGCGCCTCCTCCCCCGACGCCCATAGCTTCGCCAACGCCGCAAGTATTGCCACTTTGCAAGCAATCGCGTGCACCTTTTTAATTGCAGACAGCGCGCAAAAGTAACTCTCTGTGCGCATGGGAAAAAAAGGGGCCCACTCGCAGGGGCATCAGGCTGCCTCGGGTGGCGCAAGTCCACATATGAGAAATGCGCCGTCCGAGAAGAGGCGATGACGATGCCGACGGTGATGACTAGGACGGGTAGGACGGGTCGGGCGGGTAGGAAGGGGAGGAGTAGGAATA